TCCTCTTGCCAACAGCAGAAATGTTAACTGGACTGGTCTGTAAAATTATTCAAGATGGCTGTTTTTGTTTTTGTTTTTTCAGAGAGTAAAGAGTAAAACTATTGCAGCAAATCAAAGGATTGTTCACCATGTATACCAAGATTCTATGCATCATGGTCTTTGTTAATCTCATTTAGAAAAAAAGTGCATTTTATTTCTGAATAATAAATTGACTATGTGATTGAATTATATCATGAATAGCAATGGCAAAGCGTCTATTGGTCAAAGTTTTCTAAATACGTTTTGATCATACACTTTAATGTGTCTCTCCAGTATTCTTCAATCCCATAGAGAATATCAATTCTCATAAAATAACAGGTAAATGAAGGTTTATGTATTATCATTATATTCAAAGATGATAATACATAATTATTTATGGACTGTTGGCTCTCAGTTATCAGAATTTTTAAAGGTAATTCTATATATGTCTTTATGATAGATAGGTACTAGCATTTTTTTCTGTTAGAATAAATATGTAGAGTAAATCTATCTGATATAATTTGTTATTTTAGGATAATTTTATATATTTGCATTCATGGTTAATCACTTATTACTAAAAATGTGAAAAGATATAAAGGAATCACATTGAGGATTAAAGTTACAAAGATACATATATATGTTATATTTGTGTCAAACATAAATGTTAATAAAATATTTATGCCTTAAATGCATACTAGCCTCTTTACAATATGCTTACTACTCTAGAACACCAGTTCCAAAGATCTTGGTTTCTTTGTTTTACATATACAGATATATATATAAACATATATTTACATATATGTGTACATATGTACACACACATATACATGATCAAGGACGCTTAGGTCGTTTCTATGTCTTGTTCATTGTGAACAACGCTGCAGTGAACATGGAAATACAGACATCTCTTCGAGATCCTAATTTCAGTTCTTTGGGATATACCCAAAAGTGGCATTTCTGGGTGAAATGGTAGTTTTATTTTTAATTTTTTGTGGAACATTCATACTGTTTTCTATACATTCCTACCAACAGTGCACAAGGGTTTCCTTTTCTTCACATCTCTGCAGTACCTGTTATTTTTTCTTTTTAGTAATAACCACTCTGACAACTGTGAGATGATTTCGCATTGTTATTTTGATTTGCATTTAGTGATTAGTGATGTTGAGCATATTAGTGATGATTAGTGATGTTGAGCATGATGATTAGTGATGTTGAGCATATTTTCACGTACCTATTGGCTCTTTGGATCTCTTCTTCTAAAAAATGTTTATTTAGTTCTTCCACTCATTTTTAAATCAATTCGCTCTTTTGTTGTTGTTGTTATTGACTTGTAAGAGCCTTCTGGGTCTTCACTACTTATTAGATTTATGATTTCCAAGTATTTTGTCCCATTGTATAGGTAGTCTTTTTTATTCTGTTGATTGTCTTCTTTGCTGTGCCGAAGTTTTTAGTTTGATATAGTCTTAGTTGTCTATTTTTGCTTTTGTTTCCTGTGCTTTTGATGTCATATCCAAAAAATAATTGCCAAGAACATGTCAAGAAGCTTTTTCTCTATGATTTCTTCTAGGAATTTTACATTTTCAGGTCTTAATTTAAGTTGTTAATTAATTTCGAGCTGATTTTTTGTGTATAATGTAAGGTAGAGGACCGATTTCTTTTTTTTGTATATGCATACTCTATCATTTGATGAAGAAATTATCGTTTCCCCATTATTTACCCTTGCCCTCATTAAAGATCAGTTGGCCTTACATGACTTGGTTTACTTTTGCACTCCCTATTTCATTTCCATTGGTCTATATGCCTGTCTTTATGCCAACACCATACTGTTTTAATTACTGTAATTTTGTAATATATTTTCAAATCAGTAAGTGTAAAGCCTCCAGCTTTGTTCTTCTTTCTCGAAATGTTTTGCCTATTCTGGATCTTTCATAGTTTCATACACATTTTAAGATATTTATTTCTATTTCTGTGGAAAAATCCTATTAAATTATGATTATAATAGCACAGTATGCTTTGGGTAGTATGCACATTTTAAGAATATTAGTTTTTCAGTCCTTGAACATAGATGTCTTTCCATTTGTTCATGTATTTTTAATGACTTTCATCAATTTTATGTAGTTTATAGTACATGGTAATTCTGCCTCCTATTCAAGTTTATTTCTAAGTATCTTATTCTTTTTGATGCTATTGTGAAAGAAATTGTTTTCTGAATTTCCTTTTTGGATGGTTCATTGTTGTAGTGTATAAAAACACAACTGATTTTTGCATGTTGATTTTGTTTCCTGCAACTTTACCATATTTGTTTGTTCATTCTAACAGTTCGTTTTGTTTTATTTTGTTTGTGGAATCTTTAGGGTTTTCTACCTATAAGTTCATGTCATCTAAAAACAGAAGTCATTTTACTTCTTCCTTTTGAATTAGACTCTTTTTTATTTTTTCTTCTCAATTTCTCTATCTAGAACTTCCCATGCTATGTTAAATAGAAGTGGCCAGAATGAGCATCTTTGCCTTCTTAGAGGAACTTAGAGATCCTAGAGGAAAACTTTAAATTTTTTCACTGTTGAATTTGATGTTAGCTATGAGTTTATTGTATATGGCCTTAAAAAAACGAGAGTTCTGCCATATGTGACATGGATGATACTGAAGGACATTATGCTAAATAAAACGAGTCAGTCACAGAAGGACAAATATCTGCATGATTTCACTTACATGAGGTATATAAAACAATCAAACTCATAGAAGCATAGGATTCAATAGGTTGTCAAAGGCAGGAAGGATGCGAGAAATGGGGAGTTGTGCAATGGGTATGAAAGTTCAGTTATGTTAAATAAGTAAGTTCTAGAGATCTCTGTACCTTACAGTGCCTCTGGTTAACAACACAGTGTTGTAAACTTCAACATTTGTTAATAGGGTAGATTTTATATTAAATGTTTTTGCCATACATATACACAAACAAACAAAAACAAAAGAGAGACACAAGAAAATTTTAACAAGTTTTAGATATGTTTATTACCTTCATTTTGGTGATGTTATTAACAGTGTTTGTAATATGTCCAAACTCATGAAATTTTATACATTAAATATGTAGGTTTTTTTATATATCGAGTATACCTCTATTAAGAATTTTTCAAAAAAAAAAGCTCACCAAATTTATGTTCCTGGAATTTAAGAGTATTTTTTAAAAGTATTCATTAGTCCTTAGAAGTTCTATAAAAGTATCCTAAATCTTTTCTGATTTGTAAATAAATCTCATCTGTCTATTTTTCTAGTGATTAGAAGACATTTTGAATACTTTGATGTTACATATTTATCAGTTTGAATCATTTTTGGCATTTTATTATACTTATTATGCACTTTTTAGAATATCTACCATACTTAGAATTAATCTTTTGAATTGTATCATACCGTCTTTATTTTTATGTCTAATTACTATTTGTGTAATCCTTTTTACGACTTTACTTTTTAGAGCAGTTTTAGGCTTACAACATAATCGAGATGGAAGTCAAGAGGTTTCCTGCATATCCTCTGCCTCTGCACGTACATAGCTTCCTTATCACCAACATCAATCATTAGAATTGTGCTTTTTTTTATATCAAGGGTGAACTTACATTGACACACCACAAAAATCACCCAAAGCCCATTGTTTAACTTAGGGTTAACTCTTGGTATTGTATATTCTATGGATTTGGAAAAATGTATAATATATAACAAAAACCATTATGGTATTATACAGAGTATTTTCACTGTTCTAAAAATCCTCTATGTTCTGGATATTCATCTCTCCCCACTCTACCCCTGACAACAACTGATCTTTTTATAGTCTTCCTAGTTTTATCTTTTCAGAATGTCATAGAATTGGAATCATACAGTAGGTCATCATTTCTAATATGCATATAAGGCTCCTTTATGTCCTTTCATGGCTTGATAGCTCATTTTTTTAGCACTCAATATTCCATTGTCTAGATGTCGAACAGTTTATTTATTCATTCATCTCCTGAAGGACATCTTGGTGGCGACCAAGTTTTGGCCATGATGAATAAAGCTGCTGTAAATGTTCACGTGTAGTTTTTTGCGTAGACAAGTTTTCAGCTCCTTTATGTAAATATTAAAAAGCGTGATTACCGGATGGTATGGCATCCTCTGAGAGGATGAGCTGAGAATTTGATTATGGCAAGTGCTTTGCTTTGGACATCAGCTGTGACCACAATAATTCATTTCTTTAGAAAATCAGATCTGGAGAATAGGACACATTTTGAATACTTTATTCTAAGAATAAATGTGCTATTATGTTTTTTATTTGTTTGTTTGAATTTTTGTTTTGTTTTATTTTTAATCTTCCACCACATATTTTATATTGTACCACAGAACAACAACTTAAAAGGGCCCACCAGATATGACAATTAACTGATGACTGTAATGGAGCTATATGAGAAATATCTATTACTGTATTTCAAATCGGTCCAAATTTAGCAGCTTAAAACAACCAACATTAATTATCTCATAATTTCTGTAGATCATGAATCTTGGTTTGATTTAGCTGGGTACCTCAAGTTCAGGTTCATGACATCCCAGTGTAGCTGGCGGGAGGGGCTGTCCTTATCCGAAGACTTGCCTGGTAGGGCGAGGGTGGTGCATTTCTGCTTTTAGCTTGCTAACATCATTATTGTCAGGTATTTTTTTTCTGTTTTCATTTTGAATTCCAAGTTCTCATACTTTTGTATTTTAATTCATATGCTGTGCAAAAATATTTTAATTCCGATATCTACAAATTCTTTTCATGTAGGCTCTTTTGCATGCATGTTAAAGTTTACATAAATCTAGAATTTCATTACTAAGTAGTATACAAATATTTAAAATTTGAAAACAATGTCATACTCAATATGTTTATTTAAATATGTTGTCTAAATGTTTTAATGTATTTTATATAAGGATATTATGTTATGATTATTATCACCAAAAACTTAACATAAAATATTTTTCAGAGCACTATCAGCTGTATGTTCCTGAGTCAGCTCAAGTCGGTTCAGCCGTTGGGAAGATTAAAGCAAATGATGCAGACACTGGTTCAAATGCTGACATGACATACTCCATTGTTAATGGTGACGGTATTGGGATATTCTCCATCTCCACCGACAAAGAGACCAGAGAAGGAATCCTTTCCTTAAAGAAGGTAAAATGAACATAATGTTAGCAATTTATTCAACTCACCAATTTTTCTGTGAATGGAAATTTGACAAAGGTATGATAAATCTTATTGTCAGGTCATTAAAATGATAAAATATTTCCTCTTTAATAAGTAATTATATTTTAATTATGGTTGTGTCTGACTCTTAGGATACTCTTTTAGGAATTATATTTTGTTCTGTTGGAAAGATCTGTTGTAGAATACACCATGAATGTGACCCCTCATTTTGTTTTCAGTTAACGGATTTATCATCAACATCAGTTCTAATAATGTCTTTATGTTGTACTAATCTAGTTACATTAAAAAACTTTTTCTAACTAATGGAAAAATCTTCACCATGTTAGCAAACACTCTTAGGAGACAATTTTTTGCTTGATGGTCGTGAATCTATCAAGACAGCTGTGGTGTAATCATTAACCTTATCCCTCATTCTTTTTTTATTCTTTAGAATTTATCATTTGACCAAGTCTATTGCTTTTTGCTTGTAAGAGTACATAATGCTCATGTCCTTGTAGAAATGAAGAACTCAGACAAATACGAAAGAATGATTTAAATGTAACTCCTAATGCACTGTGTCTCAGTCTTTCTTTTATTTTGTTAAATTATATATATTTGGGTTACATTGGTTAATAAAATTATATAGTTTTCAAGTATACAATTAAATAATACATCATCTGTATATTGCATTGTGCGTTTACCACCCAAAGTCATATCTCCTTTCATCACTGTATATTCGACCCTCTTTGCCCTTATCTACTTCCCATCTCTTCCCTTTTCTTCTGGTAACCACTAAACTGTTGTCTGTGAGTTTTGATTTGTCTTGTTCATTTGTTGCTTTCAGTTTTATAGCCCACATATGAATGAAATCATATGGTTCTCAACTTTTCTATCTGACTTATTTTGCTTAGCATGATTTTCTCAGGATCCATCCATGTTGTTGCAAATGACAGTATTTCATCTTTTCTTATGGCTGAATAATATTTTATTGTATATATGTACCATATCTTCTTTATCCGATCATCTATCGAAGGACAGTACAGTTGTTTCCATGTCTTGGCCACCATGAATACGTCTCCTATGAACATAGGGGTGCATTTATCTTTACAGATAAGTATATATCTTTGCAGATAAATGTTTCAAATTTTGTGCATAGATACTCAGAAGAGAGATTGCTAGTCATATGATAATTCTATTCTTAATTTTTTGAGGAAGCTCTAACCGTTTTCCATAGTGGCTGTACCAATTTACATTCTCACCAGCAGTGTATGAGGTTTCCGTTTTTTCCCTCAGCCTCTCCAAAATTTGTTGTTATTGTCCTGTTGATGGTAGCCATTCTAACAGGCATGTGTGTTATCTCATTGTGGTTTTAACTTGCATTTCTCAAATAGCTAGTGAAGTTGAGAATCTTTTCATATGTGTTGGCCATTTGTATGTCTTCTTGGGAGAAGTATCTGTTCAGGTCCTCTACCCATTTTTTAATTACATTGTTTTTGATGTTGTTGTTGTTGAGTTGTATGAGTTCTTTATATATTTTGGATGTAAGCTCCTTATCAGAGGTGTTATTTCTTAAAACATTCTCCCACTCAGTTGGTTGCCTCTTTGCCTTGTTGATGGTTTCTTTTGCTGTGCTGAAGCATCTTAGTTTGATATAGTCCTATTCATTTGTTTTTGTTTTTATTTCCTTTGCCTTTGAGATCAAATTCATAAAATCCTCTCTAAAACCAAAGTTCATGAGTTTAGTACCTATGTTTTCTTCTGTGCAATTTATTGTTTCTTGTCTTATATTTTGGTATTTGATCCATTTTGAATTAATTCTGGTGTATGGTGACAGATAGCAGTCTAGTTTCATTCTTTTGCATGAGGCACTCCAATTTTCCCAGCACCATTTATTGAAGAGCTTTATTTTCTCCATTGTATGTTTTTCACTCCTTTGTCGAAAATTATTTGCCCATATATATGTGGGTTTATGTCTGGGCTCTCAATTTTGTTCCGTTGATCTGTGTGTCTATTTTTCTGCCAATACCATGCTGTTTTGATTATTGTCACTTTGTAGTATAATTTGAAGTCAGGCAGTATGGTACCTCTGGCCTTGTACTTTTTTCTCAAGATTACTTTGGCCATTCTGGGTCTTTTGTGCTTTCATAAAATTTGATTTTTTTGTTGTTGTTGTTCTTTTTCTTTAAAAAATGCCATTGAGACTTTGGAGATTGCATTACATCGGTAATGTTTAAATGTTTAATGATTTCAACTTGATCCACTAATTTTCAGATTTAGCTCCTACTGTCATGTATTTTGATTCAGAAAGACTGGAGTGGGGCTGAGAAACTACCTTTTTAAAAAGTACTCTAGATTATTCTACCATAGAATATGTTCAGAACACTGTCTGAAACATTTTACCCTAATATGCTACTGTAGATATTGAACTAAATCTATTCATCATCTCTCTGTGTTTTGTATATACTTTTTCTATTTGCACTATGTAAAAACTTATTAATTCTTCTGACAATCATAACTTTATATTGATTTAAAATTGAGAATTAACTTGTTTTCTGGATGCTACATGGGGCCTGCAGAGGAGAACTTAAAGTGTATAAATACTTATAGAGCAGTAGTCATTGTGTCTATGTAAAATATTCATATCTTCACCTAAATTTTTTTTTTCATTTTAATATTTCTTTATTGAGATTGTCAAGCCTGGGTCAAAAATATGATGATAAAAAGAATCAATTTTCATATCTTTATTGAACAAATATGTGTATTTTGAGTGCCTCTAATGTGCCAATTGCCATGTTCCAATAAACCATGCAAGGGCGAACAGAGTCAGATTTCGTCTATGCCTGCACAGATCTTCCAAACTATGGAAATGCGCAGACAAATTCAATATCACATACATTCCTAGATCAATAATAAAAACTTTTCTATGAAGGAGAGTTGTACAAAACTATCAAGAAGAAAATCTGGAAATTTGATCTTGTCCAATATTCAGCAATAGATGAACAGAGAATTGAAAGAAATGTAGGAGTTATAGGTAAAGATATAAGAATAAGCATTCCAGAAAGAAGAAAGGCAATGTACTAAGAGTCTGAGGTGGGTGGAACATGGCTCATTAAGGAATCAAATAATATTGTTGATTCTGGAACAGAGAGAGTGAAAGATTAAGTCAGTGGGTGGAAGGGCAAGCAGGGCCTTGTTAAATTTTACCCAATGAAGAGCCATTGAAGATATCTAAGCAAGAACTGACTATTCTTCATTTGATGTCAATATTTCTGATTAAATGTTGATGTAAGCTAAACGAGGACAAGACTGTCTTTTAATTCTTCACTGCATTCCCAACATCCAGCATGTTTTCTGATATAGAATATGCATTCAATAAGTATTAGAATAATTAATGGATGGATATATGTATAAAAAATGAGGCGGGTATTGCCCACTTTTCATTTCTTGAATGGTCTTCATTTCACTAAATTTAGGTAAATGGAATGGTTCTTTCTGAAATATGAACTCAGAAGCCAATATTTAAGAAATAAGTAGAACACAGAAGAGAAATAGTCTTGAAAGAAAATTTCAAAACATAGGAGAATTATAGCACTAAAAATTCCCAAGGGAGGCTGCAGAAGAGAAATATAGTGACTGATTTTTTTTAAAAAATGTGAGTATTCTAGAAAATTAAATCAATTTAGAATTATAAATATCAATTGGATTTGGTAAAAGGGAGGACAAGGTGATTGTCACTAGAAGTTTTCAGATTATCATCATCATCATCATCATTTTCATCACAATAATAGTAACAGAAACTAATAATTGTTGATTATTTTTTCTATCAGAACAGGTTTTAAGCTCTGTCTTGATTAGTTGATATAGTATACCTATTATCATTTCTTTAAATCTCACTAGGACATTATGATTTAAAGAGTATTATTAATGTCACATAAAAAAGAAATTGAATCACAGATAAAGAAATGAAATCACAGCTATAGAAACTGAATCACAGAGAGATAAAGAAAAATGGTACCAAAGTATATATTCATCAGTGGAAAACTGATCTTGATAGTCTTTCTTCAGACTCTGAACAATTACTCATTTTACATGGTCGGATGGAAAAACCATATATGTACTCTTTGTTACAATGAAGTACAAATTCAGTATGGTGGAGAAAATGTGAATTAAGATAATGGAGAAAAAGGTGGAAAACACCATCCTCTTTAGGAAACAGTAGTAACGTGGAAGAAAAAGTTTATGAAGCAAATAAATGAGAACACGGTGAAATGCAGATTGAAATTTTAAGTTGGAAGACTGAACACATGTTTTCATGTAGGTAGAAACAAAAAAAAAAAAATTGAGGATACTAGAGATGGGATAATTGATTTTAAATGAATGACTGAGTTAGAGATGGTCCTGTGTAGGATCTTGATCACAGGTAGAAAAAAGCAACCCATGATAACATGCCTCCTTTTCTGAGAGAACCCAGCAGAAGGACAAAGAAAACGGTTGCAGATAAGTTTGCAGTGATCTAATCTGAGTGTGCATGTGCGTGTGTGTGTGTGCACGCGTGCGCGTGTGCATTTGGCTGTGGTAGGAGCGTGTCCATGATATTGAGCATTTTATCTTTATAAAGTAAGAAGTAACAGCATATTTGCAAAAAAAATGAGAACAGTGGTGAATAGTTTGTATATACACATGACCTGAAATACAAATATATATTGTGAGATTAAGGACATTGAGGCCACCCTGCATGGCCTCAATTCATTTGATGTTGTTTATAATAAAAAAATGAAAAGACATTAGTATATGTATATGTGTGTGCACATATATTTAGTAAACATTCTTAATTTTCTATTGACACACAAAATAGATATTTTCAAGATAAAGATTGTTTCAATTCTGGAAAGGCTAGTGATGATATACTGAAAATAATCTTGACAATGAGTCCAAATTATCTTTCACTTTTTTCCCTGAATATTTTTTTAATGCAGTCTAGACTTCCT